AGAAAGGCCGAGAAGCACTCTCAGTAAGCAGAAGGGAAGAGAAGCGCCCTCACATTGCCTACCTAAATGCATCACTGCAATAACGGGTAAGGAGACTGAGAAGCACTCTCAGCAAGCAAGGTGGTTTGATAGGCATCCTCAAAAATTGTCTTCCATCATTGAACTCTTTGTAAAGAATATGGAGACGATGGGAAGAACTTTGCTGGCCAAAGAATATTTCACATATCTCCCATACCAAAGGTGACATCAAAACAGACAGCAAAATGGGTGGATCAAATGATCCATTTCTATGGAAGACGAAAATTTTGGATCGATCCTTGAGATGTCAAACGATGGCAGCAAATTAGTTTTTGAAGAAAAGAATGGAAATGAAAATGAAAAGTGCAAGATATACGTGCATTTATAGGGGCGTGAAGGTGAAGAGACAGAATATGAACAGCCACGTTCGTACCTAGTAATTGGAGTCAAGCGGTCCAAAGTCTTGGAAAAAGTGACAGAAATACCAAAAGAGAATGAACATGAATTTTATCATAAAGCAGTTAAATGCTTGGGGGTTGATGATTTAGGACAAACGTCTGTTACATTCAAAATTGGCAATGGCTATCAGTACAAGGTTATAAGAGGAAAGTTAATACGAAGTTACAAAAAGAAAAGTTAAGGCATTAGTTGTCTTAATTACAATTCGCCCCAGATCGAACGAATTCTTTCTCTAAGTCTCCCCCAATCCTCGCTCTGCTGAGAAGAAGTGACATTCAATTCAGCTACAAAATCATCATCAACCTCCAACTTCTTGTACTGCTCGACCAAAGACTTGGTTTGCTCAATTCCTTGGGAAGCATTACGCTTTTTAGCAGCCATTCTCGCCTTGCAGTCATTCATCCTTGCTTGAAGCTTCTTCATCTGTGCAGCCAAACTGGTCATCAAAGAGTCTTCAATCATAACTTCGGAAGAGATTTCTTTCAATTCGTCTTCAGCTTTGTTGATCTCTAGAAGCAAAGACTCTCTTTCAGATGCAGCGCGAAGATATTGAGTACTCTTGGCCTTCAGTTCAACATTTTTGACCAGCAAAGAGAGGATGTCAGAATGGACAAATTTCAACGTCGCTTTAAAATCAGCAGAAATATTGAGCGATGGAAGTGTCAGTGTGTGCGCCAACTTCGCACTCAAATGCTCAAGTTTATCCTTATGTTTGGCAGCACTAGCCTGACCGATGTCCATGTCCATAAAAGATACATACTCAAATATCGACTGCTTGAAAAACTTCTTATCTTCCTCTGAAGAAGCAGAAGAACGACCGGTTAAAGTAGGGCGAGACGTCTTGACTTGCCCCCAGGAATTGAACAAGTCCTGGATGGAACGCACGATCTCATCAGCATCCCGCAAAGAAAAATGCCAACATTGAAGGTTTCCACTACAATGAACAAAGTCAAAATAAAAGTAAAGTAAAAGGTTACCTCATCAGCAATTTTGGGAGGTGGCATATCACCAGTTGGCTCCACAACCTGTGGAAACTTCCCCTTGTCTGGGCGAGAAGACTCTGCAACAACGGGCAGACCCATAGGAGCCTTTGCATGATTAAAGAAGCAACAAATCAGAAACCAATAGTACAAGCAAAGGTAAAACATCAAAAAATATATTACCTTCTGGTTCGACGTTTGGGGGTCGGCGCCCTAGGAAGAAGGTGACTCGTCCATTAGTTGTGATGAAGGTTCCGGGACTGAAGGTTTCTCTTTAAGCGTAGTCCCTTCATCAACTGGTTTGGACGAAGCAGCTCCAACAGAGGATGATGGAGTAGGAACTGCCAACACCAAAGCCTTCAAAGGAGAGGCTGAACTTTTTCTGAGAAATTCGAGAAAACCATTAGCACATAGAAAGGTATGCTTGTGAGTAAACAGAATTCAATTACCTTTCTCTTGACGATGAGAGGAGTGTCATCATCATCCTCATCATCATCATCCTCCAAAATGGGAGATGCTGAAACTGGCCGTTTGCGGCTTGGGGCACTCTTAGCTGCAGTAAGTTTGGCAGGTAGAGAAGTAGAGGGACGAAAAGATTGTTTAGCACGAGCAGGGGAGGAAGGATTCCTAATGGACACAGGGGCGACCAAAATAGGGGAAGTAGAAGGAATGTTTGGTTGATCCAGTGAATGGAAAACACGATTGGCATCAGTGGCAAACAATATGCGCTTCACTGATGGCCAGAGTTGTTCAAAAAGGGGGTGAACGGCACAGCTAGGATTGAAGGGGGCTAACGAAAAGTTACTCGTCAAAAGAATATTGCGAGTATCTATAGCTTGTACCTCTGCCTTATTAATGGTGTGAAAGTGGTCTATCAAATTTTTTGAATAACAAGGGAGAATAGGCCAAGTTTGGCCAAAACCAAATTGGAGAGCAAAAAATTGGGGAGCATATATTTCAACCCCAGCTTTGGCATTGGTTTCAGTTAAAATATCGTGAAACAACTCCCTCCCAGTCAAAAACGGAACCCAAACAAGCAGAGAGGCGCTCGCACTGTCCAAGGTAGATGGAGGTTGCACATAATCTGGAGTTAAATGGGCAGGAAAGGGAAAGAAGAAAGGAATTGAATTTAAAGTATGAAAAAATGAAAAAAGTCCCTTTTAGACATATTTACAAGGCTCAATGGGTCAATGGCTAGCCCATAGCAGCTGGCAGAATGAAGGGACATGGATAGAGCACCAAGTGATGGAAAATAGGCTCTCAACCACAGTTGAGTGAACCAAAGAGGCCTACTGCCAGTGGGAGATGCACCATTCTTCAATTGAAATTGAAGAGAAGCCATGCCTCTATAGAGGGCAGCCAAAAAGAAAGAACACAAATTCGAAGGCCTACCACGCGCGAATTCGTGCGCTATGGGTAAATAGCTCATAGAAGGCTTTATACTGAGCACACACAGAATATATTTACAAAGCCAAATCTGAAGAAAGGCCACACACTCAGCGTGGGAAGGCTCAGCGTTTGAGTGATTATAACAGCCTTGCAGGCTTGAATAGGACTCGGTGAGTTTTTTGTCAAATTTTGGGGCAACGCTGGAAATTAAAATACCAGGGAAAATGGTATCGCCCAAAGGTGGAAGATTTATCAAGGTCCCAACATCCCTTAAAGTAATGGACATGAGACCAAGAGGGAAAATAAAAGTATTATATTCAAAAGACCAAAAACTTAAAACAATAGGAAAAAGTGCTGGGTCAAAAATTGGGGGTTCAAGAAAGATTTCTAATAAATCAGAAATCCTAGCATGATCAAAAAGTGCCTTGGTAGGACTATGGCCCACAAGACGAGCATGCCATTTACGGAAAACGACATCAAATTTAGGCCAAGTGCGAATACCTTTTTCATAAATCGGTCTCAGCGGTAAAGAGTTCAGGAATAGAGGGCCTTGAGTACAAGGGAACAGTTGGCCCACTGCCACTTGTTCGACGGCTTCAGCGTTGTTAAATGAAGGACCCAGATAGAACTCATTAAGTTCAGCATTGGCTGGTGCAAGAAAGTTCGGGTTTACATATGGCCGAGTGAGGATTTTCTGGAAATCTTCGAAGCTAAAAGAGTCGTCAGATTGGGTTTGTGGAGCAGCCATTGAGGACGAAATACAGTTTTGTTAAAGTTTACTTGAGAAACGTAGCAGAGAAGCAAGAAGATGAACAGTGGTATGGCGAGAAAGAAGCGCGAAATAATGAGGCATGATTTAGTGGTACAACGAAATGGCGTGTCTTTGGGATTTATAAGGGTTTGTAGCGTCGCACTTTTTCAGGCTATGGAAGGAAATAATGATTGAAATTCTTGAGAATTTCAAATGTTGTTGGGAAACACAAAGTAAATATGGCAAAGATTAATAATTAGTATTAATTCTGCCATATTGGGGGGTAATTGTTGACACGCTAAAAGTACGACCCAAATCGAATAGCCAAGGAATGAAGCCCAACTGGACAATTCAGGATAAAGGCCTAGATAGGGTTATTAATGAATGCAGTGGAAGCCCACGAATACGGTAACATCATCGCCCAAGCCTGTAAGACGCCCAAGATCTGAGCAAATGAAGTGTTTTATAGTCGTCCAGAGCTATAACCCTGTTCTCGCCCAAACCTTTGAATCGCCCAGGATCTTAGCAAACATAAGATATTATGGTTATCCAGAAGTGCAGTTATTGAAGCAGTTATTGAGTAACCTTATCACGTTTCACGATTCAAGGAGTTCAGTTAAAGACGGTTGAACGACAAAGAGTAGTGGCAGCAATTAGAGACGGCAGTTCCACGACAAGTTGGCCACCATAAAGAAAGTGGATAGTTATAAACAATCAAACAGTTTCTAAGCGGTTGATCACGAAGAAATCATCAAGGGAATATAAAAGGAAGAGAAGATATCGAGCAAAAAGAGACCGGAAAAAAACTCTCAAACAGAGAATATGTAATTTCAATTTCTTAATTTAAACTTAAACATTTCTTTTTAGTACTCGTGTGCTTGCGCTCCTTGGAGGCATTCTGTTTAGTTCCAATTGTAAAGTCATCGCCAATAAAACACCCATTTTTGTGATTTTGTCTCAAGAGATTTGTTCCTTACACAATCGTCTGATCCATTTTTTAATTGTTAGAGACTATCCGCGCGAAACATAAATAAATAAAGAAACAAGACAGTCGACCTTTTCCATACCTGTAAACGGAGTACGTGTAATGTGGAAATTATTGTTTAAATGGACTTGAATATTCAAAATAATTTCATTTCCGCAAAAGAATTTTAGCCCCTATTTGTTGCCCTTTTTACACTTTTATTCTAGAAAAATTTGCCCGTTACTAGTCATTTCCACTGACAAAGCACTGACTAGAGGCTGTACATATACAGCTTTGTAAAGACCAATCCTTTATTACCCTTTATAGTGAGCCAAAATTACGATAGGTGATAAAGTCAAAAAGGGTGGGTCGTTGAAGGCAAATGAGGTATTTCAGGAAAGATAAAAATTGTACTAGTCAAAAATATATGTCATCATGCAGGACCCACATTGGTAGAAAGAATGCATTTTTCCGGATGAAAATGGGTTTAACGTAGTGGAGCAAGACCCGGAAGTATTTAAAATCAATTTCCATAGAATTTAATATTGAATCGAGTTCCATATGGATATATAATGATCAACATGCAAGGCTTTGCACTTGGGCAATACTAAAACCAAAACAGTTTTCTTTCCAAAATGAGAATCCAAAATCTTCATTCTTTTTACCTCCTCTTTTTACCTGTATTCTTCTTCTCCTTCAATTCTGCAACTTCAGAATCTCATCTTCAGTTGAGAAGGGGTGATTTTTTATTTGTTGAGGACGATCAAAATTTCCTCACCTCCCCAGATAACTCATTTACTTGTGGGTTTCTTAACTTGAAAATTCTAATGCCTACTGGTTTGCAATTTGGTTCACAAATTCTAAAGAAAAAACCGTCGTCTGGACCGCAAATCGGGACAGGCCGGTTAACGGCCGCGGCTCGAAAGTACACTTCAGGGGAGAAGGAACCGTGATCTTAACAGACGTTGATGACACCGTTGTATGGCAGACAAATACCACCACAACTGATGTTGCAATAGCTAAGGTTCTGAATTCAGGCAACCTCGTATTGGAGAATCCACAAGGTGATATTCTCTGGCAAAGTTTTGATGTTCCTACAGATACTCTTTTGGCAAAGTTTTGATGTTCCTACAGATACTCTTTTACCTTTTCAAACACTTACTAAGAATAAAAGATTGACTTCTACATTGAGAAAAGGGAGTTATGGATCGGGTTACTTTAATTTGAATTTTGGAAGTGATAATGTTTTGAGATTGATATTGGATACACCCGATACATCAAGCAATTATTGGCCTAATCCTGATTTTGATGTTTATAGAAATGGAAGAACAAATTATAATAGTAGTAGAGTGGCATTTTTGGATGATATGGGCAGGTTTCTGTCAAGCGATCAATTGCAAATCAATGCTTCGGATATGGGATATGGAATTAAAAGACGGATGACAATAGATTATGATGGGAATCTTAGGATTTATAGCTTGATCAACTCGACGGGTTTGTGGGAAATAACGTGGCAAGCTCTTGGACAACCTTGTAGCGTACGAGGTGTGTGTGGAAGAAACGCGGTGTGTGTTTATGCACCGGATCCTCGGTGTGCTTGTCCTCCTGGGTTCGAGGTGAATGATCTGAGTGACTGGAATGCTGGTTGCAAGGCAACGTTCAACGAGACTCTTTTACGTTCTCGACAAGTGAAATTCGTGGAGATACCTCATGTGGATTTCTATGGTTTTGATCTCAATGCGACTTCTCCATTGACATTGGAATCTTGCAGGGAGATGTGTGCGAGTGATTTTCGTTGCCTTGCGTTTAGCTACCGGATTTTGGGACAAGGATTCTGCTATGTAAAAAGTGCACACCTTAATGGCTATGAAACTCCAGAATTCCCTGCAAGTATATACATTAAAGTTCCAAACAGTTTGCAACCACCGAATCCTTCAATTCTGTATGAATCCAGAAGAATGTGTGGATCTGCAGAAGCAGAACAAATCATAGGATCTCCTTCTATGTATGACTTCGTCCCGAAAAGAGTGAAATGGATTTATATCTAAAATAGGCCTTTCATGTGTACAAGAAGATAGAAACAAGCGCCCAACAATGGCTTCTGTTGTACAAACTCTACTGGAATGTGAAGATGATACAGAAGTCCAGATCTCAGACAACTTGTAATTGCATAATTTGAGCTGTAAATTAAACATCTTTTTTATTTTTTATTTTTTTGGTTCTTGTCATTGAAATTGTAGTTAGAACTTTCTCGTAATGTGAACTCAGAATTGGACTCAATTTTTTCCTGCTATTTAGTTGAATAGGTTATTAAATTCTGCTAGGGAACGAACACACAAATTACAGCATCAGAGTAAATAAATTTCTTTTCTTGTCCAGGTGTAATTAAAGAGAAATAATGTGAACCCAGAATAGGACTCACGATCTTCTGCCTTTGGGTTGAACAGATCTATCAAATTCTTGCAGCAGACAAATAGAAGCTTCGCCAGAAACCGTCAATTAACAGATAAAAGATAAATAGCATGATCAGATTGCAAAAATAGCCTCCTTTACAGACTATTGTGTAATTTTGGTCAGCAGAGCCTTTTCTGAAGAGAATATTTAATATAAATGGACTCCATTTTCCTGTATGAAACTGATGGCATTGTTTGTCACCATACTGAAATAGAATAGAAGATCCAAATCTTCCATGGAATTTCCAAATCTCGCTACTCTTTGGACCACTTTTAAACTTCTGGTTATTTAATTGGTTAAACATTACCCATCATATCAAGGATTTCTTTTGTAACATAAATATCACCAGGCTTTGAGTTTTCAAACTTTTCCCGTTTAAAATTATATTCAATTTTTGTGGAGCATTGGCAAGAAAATATCGTTGTATAGAGAAATCAAGAAAATCTGGAAAAGTCAGGTACTTGTTACAATTTAGTTTATCATACTCGAGAATGACATGCCATTTTATGACAGAGCCGAGTTGACGTGATAATAATAAGCACAAAAGGCAAAGGTAGCAAAAAGGTTATGAGCCTATTACTTGATGTCAAATAGATTACTACTGATAGATAATATTATTTTGTTGTTATTTGATGCATTATATCAGATTACGCCTTGAACGCAGGATTTGCGCGGCTATTCTTGCTTCAAATATCATTTTGTATAACAGGAAATGGTTAATTCAAGATTTCTCAAACAATTTAAATTTTCAAGGTCCTTCGTGTAATTGTGTAAAAATTTTGTTAATCTTGAAACTTATCTTTTTCAACACAATTCCAATACATGCCTGCTAAACCTAGCTAAATTTTATCAACTTTTAAACTCATTAAATTTTAATTTTAACCAAATTTTTAATAGAAATATATATATCCTACATTAAGTTTTATAATTTTTCTTCATTCGCCATGCTGGATTATTAACATCATACCATCTCGTAAAAAATGACATAGAAATAGTACAGTGATTTCTCTATAATTCAAAGAATAAAATCAGTTGAGGCACAATTTGAATAGGCAACAAAATTTGATAAGGTTACAATGATCGATATATAAAAATGACCCTAGAACAATAAAAATAATGAAAACATATTCTGAATGATAAAACCTGACGCAAGACACTCTACTACCAAGTAGCCTATACATCGAAAAATTGTTATTGGTAGCAACCATATAATTTTCCTCCACAGAATTTTTTCCGAGTAAACAAGGAAACTTACAAACTAATTCTAACTCCCATGTATTTTAACCAAAACTGATCCTTACAGCATCCATAGTGACACGAGTTGCAAACTGCATGGAGGAAGATCCTTGGCCAGAAGCAAAGATTAAGAACTAAAAGGCCGTTGTGACAGTAGTTTCTTCAGCGTTTCATATGTCATGAAGACAATCCCCACACTTGGAACAACCTTGTAGTATTCAGGAATAATTCCTCTGTACAAACCACGCAAGCCTTCAGCACGGATAATGGACCTAAATGTCCCGAACAACCCAGTATTATACACTCGGGCCCTACCAGCAGCCCCTTCCAATTGCATTCTTCGCCTCACAAGATCCAAAGGGAATGTTGCTGAATTGCATTAAGCATAAACAAACAAGAATGAGAAATCATATATGGAACAAAAGAAGCGAGGAAAAGGTTCTTCATTATGAAATGCCAAAGCAAAAGCAGAAATCACAGTATTGTAAGAGAAGGGTCAGCTCGTACAAGCAGGGAAAAGATTGGCTTCATGCCTGTTCTATTCACAAGAATGCCATGCTGCTATTCTCCCAACTCCACAATAACATTTTTGTCATAGAACGCTTCCTAGTGGGATGACTAATTATATTGGATCACAATTTACAGCCACGTTTTATTAACACTCTCCTTTTAGCATGTAAAAATCTGACCAAAGTTATACAGGCAAATTCGGTTCCAAATTCAACGTCAACCAGAATCCAAGTATTCTTAAGACTCCCTAATTGTAAACAGTAATTTCAGGCACAAGATCAGAATCATGTTAAACTAAACTTAGCCATTGTTTGAGCTCCATTTGATCAAAAACTCATTTTTAACCACATTCTTCAATAAATTAATTTTACACAGAAATCGAAAACTATTTTTTTTTTCTTTTGGGTTTTAAAAAAACACATTCTCCAAAAAAAAAAAAAAAAAAAACACTATTCTAAAATACATTTCCCCCAAAATGGGGCTCAGTCAAGGGCTATTTAAACCAATAAGAGGTTACATTGAACTCTAAAATCCAAATCAGGAAAGAGTGCCATTGTCCACAACATTCTTAATAGGGTGAACATGTAATTACAAGAACTCTAGATATAAGATATATTATAAAATAGGAAAAATTGCAAACAAAGTCCCTGACCTTTCAATGTAGTTGCACAAGTGGTCTTTATCAATGATTTCTGTCCAATTTTAGTTAAAAGGCCAATTCTACCCTAATTTTCATTAAAGGATAAAACAAAACAAACAAAAAAGGTTTTCCTCTCTCAAATAAAAAACACAAAAACACAAAAACAAAACTACAATTCAAATATGACAGGAAGAGGGACTGGGTCCAAAATGGGGGAAGTGCCCGGAATGCCAAAGCTAGGAGGGGTTGGGTTTTGGAGGTAGAGGTGGGGGATGGGAAACTGGGATATCAAGAAGCCAAAATTAGGGGGGGAGATGAGAACAACAATGGTGATACGCTGAAGAGAGTGGCAGGACCAGTTTATTGCAGTGGGGAGGGTGCGTAGTTATCAAAATCACGATCCTGAACGTAGGATTGCATGATTCTATGATCCTAAAAAAGGCAAAACGATCCAGATCCTACATGGAATTGCAATTCACTATGATTGCTACAATTTAGTGCAATATCTGAAAATGAACAATTAGCTAGTTGTTTCTACGTTCTTTCTTATGATAATGAATGGATAATAGAAGTGAGGATGCAGTTTGTCCACAACCAAGCAAGTGGTTGGATGTTCTTGATAGATCTGCACGAAGAGACGCTCAGAAAGACCTTTTTTAGAATCGTGTTTGAAATGTTATTTTGACAAAAACCCTTGTACACCTTTTCATTTTTTATTATTTGTTTTTAGGTAGTTACTGATTATAGACTTACAATTGTTAATTTGTTCTTAGTACTTTTATATTCATCATTTTTTAATATTTCAAATCACTATCCAGTAGGATCTTACATTTTTTGATCCAATCCGCAAGAACCCTCCACCAATCCGATCCAATTTACGATCCAAACCACCTTCAGAGGGTGGGTGGATGGATGAGGTTCTTTTCTCTTCCTTTTACTTTCATCTTTTATTTTTCTTTCTATTTCCACTTTTATTTTAAAATGAGGAAAGTTGCTACAAGCACCGAAGATTGGGTACCAGCTCTGCTATTTTGCGTAAAAAATACACATTTCAGATATTACAGCACACTCACCTGTTGACGATGCAATGCCAGAAAGACTTCCACAAGCAAGACTGACAGCAACCACAGAATCATTGGGCCTGGTAGTGATCAAATTGTCATTCTCAAGAATAACAAGGATTAGGAATTAAACTGGAATATTAAATTCATTATACAACATACAACTATGTTCTCACCTTTGAGAATTCCAATAGGATCTCAGACTCTCGTAAACAGAAAAGCTTATTGCTATACTGGGTCCAACACCCTGCAACCACGAAATATCAAACATTGAAAAGAAAAAGAAAAAGAAAACTATAAATGCGAAGAAGTAAAGCAAGAGATGAAGATATATACCAATAATGTAGCTCCGAGCCCTTTGTACAAGCCAAGGAAACCTTCATCTCTGCATATAGTATGAAGCGCATGCCAAATGCCCCGGTAGTATATTGCATTCCTCTAAAAAGTTTGCAAACTAACTAAGTGCAGCCTTAACATTAAAATAAAACTTAAAAAAATAAATAACAATGACATGGATAACTGATGAGTATGGAGACAATGAAGATACGGTGTAGCTAGCAACCTGTTTTCGATTGAAATTTTATATGCGTGTTATCTTCACTCATTGTCCTGCCATCTATATACAGTTCTTTTCTTTTAGGTAGGGCGGGGGTTTTTTAGTCTGAGTGTGTGTCTACACATCTGTTGGATGTAGCAGAATGGGTGGCAGCAGGGGAGAGGGAGTGGATTGATTGAATTAGTGCAAATGTGCAAAAAGAATTCAACACAGACCTGACCTTGTAAATCAATTTACAGGGACCGAGAAAAATCCCACCTCTAAATTAAAAAATACGACGACAATGATAAAGCTTGAATATAAAATGTTTACAACATATCCATGGTATGATTAATGTACCTGTGCAGCAAGCCGTGTTCTGACGAGATCCAGTGGATATGTTGCAGAAGCAGCTGTCATTCCAGCCAAACCACCACCAACAAAATGCACAAAAACATTTACACTTGCATTTTCCCCATGAGCATCAAGGCCTGGAATAGATTTTAAAATCTGCAAATGATTTTAGAATCAGTATTAAGGAACTATGCAACCTGCAAGGCAGCATAATATACATGTTTAATGGCATTAAAACTGTAATCCTAATCTTACAACTCACGTTCTTGTAACGTTCATAAGCATAGAAGCTGATCGAAGAATACGGAAGCCTGTGAGCAATCGTAACCAAATTCCCTTTCCAGAAGGCTCTAAAACCTTCCTCATTGACAATTCGTACAGCTTCGCGCCATATGCTAGGCTTGCTCAATATTGAAACATCAGAATGCATACCTTGAACCTAAAAGCAGAGCGGTGACGTATTTTGAAATTAATAAAACCAAAAATTATATAATAGGGAGAGATAAAAGACCAACTGGCTAATATTTAGTAATTGATGCTACAATGTGATAAAGGGTAGCAAGTACAAAGAACCTGTTACTGGGGTGGCAAATGACTAAAATTCAAATATTAACATCATAATGAAAATTATCAGCTGTTATAATCCCCAACATGAAAACCAGTTATGACACCCAAATCTGTATTCAATTTTTGTTGTACCTAATAATATTACAAGAAACTCAAACTGGAAGCTTCAAAACACTACTCTGTCAGAATATGTTTGCACAAATACAAATCAATTCCTTCAAACCATTATAAGATTCGTAGGGAGCTCCTTTTCCTTTTTTTGGTTCATATCATACTTGTAATTAGAATACTCACCCACAAAAACCTCAAAGAAATAGTAAACAATCACCTTCTAAAGACTTCAAATCATAACCTTAAGAATGCCATCCTGATCAAATATCCATATAATTAGCACCTTAAGGAGATAAGAAAAAAGAAAGGAAAAACCACAATACCTGAAAGAGAATGGTTAGGCGAGCTAAAGGAGCTGTGCAGGTCTTACTGAAAGCTCCGGCGACGCCACCGGCGACGAGTTGAGGAATAGTTCCAATCTGCGACACAGGCTGCTGCTGCTGTCGTCGCGGCCGAGAAGGTTGATGGTGTACAAACTTCCTGGCAGATGTACCACCGTCCACAACCCCTCCATGTGCTGACATCCCAACTCTAGCTTCCATTTATCGAATTTACCCAAAAAAATCCACCGGTGAAACCAAATTATTGATTCAGGGAGCGTGTGAATGGAAATAAAGTAAAGTTTTCATCTTTCCTTTTTGATTTCTTTGCGGGGTTGTTGAAAATAAATCAATAGAAAACCCTAATAAGGGTATGGTGGAGTGAATTGAATTTGCCTAATATTAGGGCTTGTTTGGTAAGTATTTTGTCAATTGATTTTTTGATCGATAGAAATAAAATATGTACTAAATGTGAGAGAAGAATTTAAAAAGTGTAATTAGCACAAAACGATCGTACATTTCATGATTTTTGTGGAAAACGTCTCTAACTTTCGTTTTTTGACGCATTTCATCCCTATCTTTATCTTTTCTTATGCAAAACATCATTTTCATCATTTTTCTCAATAAAAAAAGGGCTTGTTTGGTAAGTATTTTGTCAATTGATTTTTTGATCGATAGAAATAAAATATGTACTAAATGTGAGAGAAGAATTTAAAAAGTGTAATTAGCACAAAACGATCGTACATTTCATGATTTTTGTGGAAAACGTCTCTAACTTTCGTTTTTTGACGCATTTCATCCCTATCTTTATCTTTTCTTATGCAAAACATCATTTTCATCATTTTTCTCAATAAAAAGCTATAAAATGACTAATATACCCTTCTATTTAAATAAAAAATAAAGAACTAAATGCAATCATAGTTCCAAATAAAAAAATTCTCCACCTTCATCTCCTCTTTTGAACTTTTTTAAAAATTGGGACTATGATTGCAATTAGTTCTTTATTTTTTTTGTTTAAATAAAAAGGTATATTAGTCATTTTATAACTTTTTATTGAGAAAAATGATGAAAATGATGTTTTTCACAAGAAAATGTAAAAATAAGAATGAAATGCGTCAAAAAACAAAAGGTATGGACGTTTTGTGCTAATTACCCAATTTAAAAATGATGACTGAAATAGTGAAATAATGAAAAAATTTAATGTTAATTGGATTAAAATATTTACCAAACATACTCTTAATTTTGAATATTTCTCATGTTTTCGGCGTAGTGAAAAGACGAGTGTGATTCACGATGACACTACAGAAGCCCAAAATGGGAGATTTTTCTATTTGACCTATTACTATTCCTTTTTGTTGAAAAGTCTATATTACCCTTAATGAAATGATACTTTCTATATTGTAACATATATTCTAATCTTTTAAACATTTCATCTTCTACTTTGAATATATAAATTCATTCTATGATTTAATAAATAAGAATAATCTGTAACATATATTTCATATTTTCTAATTAAAATGCTATATTCTTTAAATGGTAAATTTATATTTTCTAATTGAGATATAATATTCTTTATTTTTTCTAACATTTTCTCTAATAGATTATCTAATCCTTCAATTGTATATCTTGGCATTGATTCATAATCATCAATTAATCCCTACGGTTCTTTAAGATCTTAAAAAAGATTCATTCTAATTTTAACAAAAGTTTAATAGTTTTAACTTAAATTTGATCTGGACTTGTATTTTTATAACCGAGTGACCTTCGAGCTCTGAACCTGTAAACTGCTTCCTTCAACGACCTCCTACCTTCATGAAATTGTTATTATTTCAGCTACTTGCTCTCACTATATCAACTTCTAAAGAATAAAATTCTAGACTTCTGTTAAAGAAAAACTTTCTTTTTGCTAAAATAAGAAGGAAAACTTTTTATCAGATCTTTCAAGAATCTATGGGAAAAATGATTTAGAAACTCATATTCATATCAAAATATTTGAGTTTTATTTCTATCAGAATTTATTCAAAAGTCTTCTATTTGATACAAAGGGATTTCCAGAAAAATTGATTTTTCAAACTGAAAATTATTTTTGAGTAGCTATTGCTTACAATTCGAGATTTCAAGAAAAGATGAGATGCCCCTTCTTTCTATGACAATATCTCTATTTATACAAGTTTTTGAGATTCTATTACATCATTGAGTACATCAGCAAGGCACACTTGCCTTTCTATTATTTTCCTCCTTCGGCCTACATCTTCACATGTTGCTTCAACTTTTTATCCAAATAACATATTTTTCTATTATTGCTCTTTATCTTCAATGTCCTCACATGCAGCTGTATTATTGTCCTCCATATATATTTGTCAAATGTGCTCTATTATTATCCTCTTCCTTCATTTCTTCACATGCAGTTGGGGCACTCCCTTAACTGACTGGATTCTTTTATAGTGGTAGGACATCCTGAAAATTGATGTATATCGAAT